GTATGCCAAAACCATTGGAAGGTTCAAACCGTCACATGACAAAGTTGATAGGACAACTGAGCTCTCATCCTGTAACTTTACGGGTCATTACTCATTTTATAACTACTGTACTTAGATAATTATTCACTGTTACGCAGCCATAATGTGTTACTAGTGCCAGCAGTAATGTGTTGTGTGTCACTTGCATTATTACTCTGATATTTGGGTTCAGGTAAATCAAGGACAATTGCATAGCAGGCTCATGCAGTTTTTAGGGTGGCTGTTTATCTAAACTGAGCACATTGTTAAACAAAGCAGATGAGCTAAAGCAGCCAGATAAGAAATTTGTGTGATGTTACCTGACCCTGAAGTCGTGGTATATGGAGCCATGATATTCCCTGTGATTCTTATACCGTAAGTCTATTATTGTTAGACGTGACTTGAAGGATGATTTTTCCTTTACAAACCAACTATATGGATAATCTTGATCCATGCTTGTTTTGGTTTTGGTCAAGAGTAATAATCTCAGGTTGTGCACTTGATAATGTGGAAGATTCACTTCCTTGCACAGATACAGTACCTGTATTAATAATTTAGGCATGGCTACAGAACCAATTTTCACCATAGGCTGAAATAGGTCATTGAACAGACAAATTTCTTCATTGCCAAATTTAACATAGAGGATTAAAGTGCGGTGAGGGAATAAGTGGTACGATACCTATCAGCCGCAGAGTTCTATAGGCCTAACGGGGACCCCTCAGAGGCACAGGGGGTGATGACACTCTTGTTATATTTATATTCTTTGTATTTACCACCACTTGGAAAGGCACCCAGAAAGTCGGCAAGAGAAAACAAACCATTGCTCGCTTCAAACAAGACCACACCTCTGAGACCGCCTTCCCTACTCGCTTGGGGAAGGGGAGAATGGAGGCACTTACTGGTCTGCTGCCTACTCAACTCTCGGTTTTATGCTGATATACGTGATGTCTGTCTAGTGTGTGCCAGGTCGTGCCTCTGCTGCTTGGGCTCCAGTATTTTGCTGTTAGAAACAAGTGGTACTTTTGAGTCTCTCGGTGACTGACTGTTTCTCCCTGCTCATTCTCGGGACATGGGTCTCGTGCAGCTACATGCCCAGGTTTCCCTGTTGTCAGCGATGGTGGTGGTGGATGACCTTCATGCTTGCCAGCATGGGGGCCGAGAAGATCCAAGATGTTCCTTGGATCTTCACATGACACATGGCGTTAAGGCCACTAGAGATGGGGGGGGGAAGAGTTTTTGCCTTGGCTATGCTCCCATTCTTCGGGAAATAGTGGCCACGTTCTTTGCCGTCATTCTCACGTGTTGACCGGCTGTGCTGCCCCAGTTTTTAGATTCGGCATGGGCCCTTGCTCTTCTGTCTGCCTCTGTTTTCTCTGCTTCTCTTCCCTGAAGGTCATCCAGTTCTTGTCCTTGGCAACCACTGCTTGTCAGCCCATTATGGACCTTCTGTATGTTTGCAGTTCTCATACTCTGTTTTTGAGGCAGTCTGACTGGACTGGAGCATCATCTGTTGTTGGTCGGGGTAGGACGTAGGTGGAGTCGGATGCTGGGTCGTATGCAGCTGGTCCTTCTCTTTCTGGTCGGTGCTGTGCTTGCTTCTATAGGAAGGTGGTCTCTTGAGGTTTGTATTGGCCCTTTCACAATTTGCCCCTTTGATGGGACGTTGGGGAAACCAAAAGGAGTAGGCAAACCAAACTTGCTTGGTTTGCCTACTCCTGGTCCCACAGTTCATGGGCATTTCAGGTCATTTCTAGCAGCATGTGGTGGGGTTGGTTGGCTCATCCTTTTTTCGGGAACTCGGGCCTTCTTGGGCAGGCTTCCTCTCCTCGCAAAAATCGAGTTGTTTTGGAATGGGTGGTTTTGAGCATGGTCGAGATGACTTTATTCCTTTGGTGGGTTTCCTGCATATTTCCAACTGTACTGAATACGTGGGCGTGCAGGCCACTCTAAGCAACAGCCAGTTGGACCTATCTCTCATAAGTCAAGCCTGGCCCCGGGCTGGGCTTGGGAAGTAGAAGAACTTCCAGAACTCCATCTCGGTGCATTCCAGACACAGGTCCGAAAATAGGACTTGCCGGACCTTTAGTTCATCCTTGACCTTTCGTGGTTGAGCCAGTGAATTCCTTGCCTCTCCTGAATGACCATTTTGTCCCAAGTCTTGTTTTTGAGTCAGATGCTTGGATGATTTCCGTGGACCTCAGGGATACATACTGGCACATTTCTATTCATCCAGGGCTCAGGAATTGACTACGATTTATTGTGCGGTGGCAAGCTTTGATTTTAAAATGATTATGTTCGCATTATATTTGTAGCCACAAAAAATTTAGTATCGACTAAATCTCTCCGCAGAGGGACTTTTGCTTCGGCGGGATAACTTTTCATATCCTCCCTTCTATGTATGAGTGATTTGTTTATGGCTTCCCCACAAGGTTCATTTCCATGTGCCTAATGGCTTTTTGAATATGCATTTCCAAAGGTTTCAGTCTTCCCAATTTCACCTTTAGAGGCTCTTGTGAATATTTTGGGTAATCTTTTGCAGAATTCAGAACTCGCTTCCTTGGTGGACCCAACCTCTTTTCAAGTCTGCCTTGCCTTTTTGGCTGCATAATGAGGTTCCAGTTTCATCCTGGTTTGTTTACAACCCTTGTTTTTTTCCCATGTGGTCTGGCAGGGGTTCGAGACTTCTGATCCTATGGTTTGCAGGCTTACTGTGTTGTTTTCTTCAGAATGGAGTAGAGTTAGTCGGTCCTTTCCCTTCGGAGGGGTTGGGGCTCAGTTCATGAACCCTTCCAACTTCTTTGTTGTGTCATTGCAACTTGGTTGCCTTCGGGCATGGTCGAATTGACCTCATCCCTTTGTTGGGTGTCTCGGTTGTTTTCAGCCCTGAAGCAGGACTTGGTGGACCTCCAGTTATATCCTTGATCTTTTGAGTTTGAACAGCTTCATTCCCTGCTTGACCTTTCACATGACCACATTGGCCCAGTTTCACCTGGGTTTACAGGCTGAGGCTTGGTTGTTAAGAACCATTAAGGACGCTTACTGAAACGTTGCTAAACATCATGAGTTTTAGGGATTTATTAGGCTTTGTTGTGGGGCATCAGTCTAGTGCTTTAAGACTCTGCACTTTGGTTTGAATATGGCTCCCCATATCTTTACCTACTTAGTGCGGATCATGGTGGCTCAGCTATGGCTATTAGGGGGTTCGCATGTTGGCCTACCTTGATGACTGGTTGGTTTGGGTTTCCAGTTGGTCCGTGTGTCAGCTGCCCAAAGATCTGGTTCCTTGCTTGCTCACTGGGGTTTGGGTTCCTGGTGAACTGGCAAAAGTCCCTGTTACCTAGCAGTAAATAGGTACCTGGAAGTTAGACAGCTGTTACGGGCTGCTTTCTGGAAGGTATGTAACAAAAAAGAGGCCTGGTCGAGGACAGGGCTGCAGGGACGTTAAGTCCCAAAATCATCTCAAGATAGGTCCTGGATATTTTTTTCAAGGCGGTCATTTTGTTGGGTCTTGCCTCTGGCTGTAGGGTTGGGGAGCTTCATGCTCTTTTCTTGAGGTGGGAGGTCTGTTGACCTCCCCCTGGTGGGCATATTCTTCATTCTCTCCTTTTCTGGCGAAGAATGAGCTTATGGGCTTCCAGAGGGGTTCCTTGGTTATGGATGGATGGTTTGGCCAGGAGTACATCATATGTTATCTGGTGGTGGTTCCTTGCTGCTACCTGCATGCCACTGCCTCCTTCATTTTAGTACGTGCCATCATTCCTTCTCTCTGGTAAGTCTCTTTGTTTTACTCCTACTCTTCTACTCCTCCCCTCTTTACCAGTTACATCAGTTCATTGGTGTTTTGTTCATCTGCTCCAGAGTTGACCTGGGAGGATTGGCAGGGGCTCTGAGCTGCCTGGTGGTGGCAGTAGCACTAACAGGTGTCAGATATCTTTGATCAGTCATTGTTTTGAATTGTTTGATGGTTTTTGGGGCTTCATTTTCTGTGAACTTTGCGGTTGTCTGTAATGCTTTACTGACTCTTTATGTTTTCCCATTTGGGTGATGGAATGTCACTCGCTATCTATACATATGTGAAGGGGACCAGGCACTGGCTCAGTTCCCCAGTAAGCCAAACAAAACTTCCACAACTGATGTGACCTAGTAGCTAGGAGCAATCTCGGTGAATACTGTATAGCTTGAGGGAGCCACCGGGCCTCTTAAATCCCCCCCCCCCCCCAAAAAAAAAAAGGCATTTCATTATATTCATCACTGATTTTTTTTATATCAATCATAATTAATGGTAGGTGGGATAGAGCACTGTTCTGATACTGGAGTAGAAATAGAAGTAGACACCATAGTTATGCTAGGTAATTATAGCTTGTGAAGTGTGTAGTGTATTTTAATATATACTGTATATAGTATGTACTGTATATAGCATTTCATACTCCTTGTTTGTATTCCCACATCCTCTACTATTCTCTACTCTATAAACTGCTAACCCTGTGTATTTATTTGAGGCAATTGATTTCCTGATAGCCAGCAAAACATAATTTTAAAAATTACTCCAAAGTTGGTGTTTTTCTCTATACAGCTGAGCATTAGGCAGTTGGTAATTTAAGCACTTGTCACCTTTTAGTTAACAGCAAGACTAAATACAGCAGGAATAAATTCTTGGTATGATTTATCAACCTTATAAGAATGCTGTATTGAAAACAAAAGTCAGAGCAGGACAACTAAATTATCCCAAAGAAATCTTTAAGCAATGTGTTTAAGTGCTGGTGTGTTATTTGAGTCCTGCATTATGTGAAAATGACTAATAAAGATAATTTAAATACAAAATAGATTGTACATAATACTCTAGGTAAGAGGCTAGTGTATTAATATTTGCAGTACACTACAGTATTTGTGCGTTTCGGCATTAATTTTACCGGCATTGTCGTCAAGCCAACATTCAAAGCCTGCGAAAATACCTTGCATTAATGTTTGATTTCACATTGCAGAAATGTGTGACTTGTACACGTTGCACTAGTTGTGGCAGTCCCAATGTGGCTCAGTGGTATAAAGTTCCATGCAGAAGAAAACCACTGCATGTGACGTTGGTGGAATCGTCGCCTACTATGGACTTAGCGTTATGCTTGCGGTGTGTTACTCTCAGGGAAAGGGGCAACTACTGTCCTTTGTGTAATGGCTGCTATGAAGATGATGATTATGATGCAAAGGTTTGTTTATTTTTAGTGGCTACATTAGATTTTGCTTGCTGATTTCTTCAGTTGTAAATAGGTTTGGTGATCATGGTTGTTTTATATTTGAAATTTTTTTTCGGGTATCACAGCATAATTTTCTCACAATATTTCTTAGTGATCTTGAACACAACATATTTGTATTATCTACACTCTTCATCTTTACATGTGAAACTTTGTTATTTATGTTGTATACAGTATATTATTCTCTTTAATTTAACAGCCGTATAAACCATAGAGAGTTTTGTCCAGAGATGATGAATTGAAAACTGACTGGAGGTTTATACAGTATGGCCAAATGTTTATTAATTTTTATTTAATGCCAAATATCATGTTGCTATTTGCAGATGATGGAATGTGGTCGATGTGGAGAATGGATTCATGCTCACTGTGAAGGGCTCAACAATGAACGCTACCAAATTCTTAGTTTCTTGCCTGACACAGTGGAGTATGTTTGTCGGAACTGTGTGCTGGATGCTTCAACTAGTTGGTTGGATGCAGTGGGGAGGGAGTTGTTAGCAGGATGTGAGGCAGTCCTACAAGCTCTTTTTAGTAGCAGGTGTGCAAAGCATTTAGTGAAGAGAGAAACTTCAATAAAACTGTCTTCCTCAGGAGGTCTAACCCCTGTTCCTTTACCTGCAATTGGAACCCCTTCATTGGAAAGAAATGAGGAGGATCCTTTGGAAAAAATGGAGGATGGTGATTGCCTGGTTCATGTTGGCCACGCCAGCACTGTGGTGTCGGTGGAACCTCACGGTGCAGCAGCTTCTGAGGGTTATCCTTCTGGGGAACTCTTTCACTCAGGAAAAAGTGGTATTCAGTGCAGTGAGACGGGTGCTAAGCATCCTTCATCAGAAACTGGTGTTGTCATGGAGTCTAGTGTTGTTCAGGTGAAGAATTTAGTTGTTAATGCGGATGTTGAATCATCTCGGACCTCATGTAAATCTGCTAAGGGTGTATCGGAGAGATGCAAAAACTTTGACTCATCTTTATGTTCTGTGAATATAGATGTTAAAGACAGACCTCAGGATGAAACTGTTGTAAGAAATCCAACTGCTAAGCAGAAGCTTTGTCCAGATAACAGTAATTCTGAGAAAGTGGCAGCTAATGGTAATTCAGGTAAAGGTGGTTGTATAATAGGTGCAAAAGACAAAACTGATCTCAAAGGAAAATTTGGTAAAGTCAAGTCTGAGGAAGAGATTCAGTCATTTCCTCGACGGCAGACCCGCTCCTCTTTGGCAGGTGCAGCACATGCCTCAATTGCTGCCTCAAGTAGTGCTTCCAATGACCCCATAAAATTAAAGGAATGCTCCGTGCGCTTAGAAGATATTTGCAAGTCGAAAACACCTTCAACGTCTCCAATCAAAACTCAAGGTGAACAAGATGCTACACTAAAAGCAGAAATTGAAACATGTAAACAAACAGAATCCGTAAAATCTCAGGGAGTAGAAGCTAGTACAAAGTTGCCATGTAACAGAACACTAATGTGTTTGGAATCTCTGGAAGAGAAGGAATTGGAGGGAGTAACGAGAGAAGCCTTGCAAAGCATAATTACTTTAAAAGATACAGATGTCTCGTGCACACAAGTAGATGGCCCGAATGATGAAACAACAGTAACAGCCAGAGTAATAAGAAATCTTTTCTTTGAAGACAGGAATCAGATGGTGCTGGATGCCACCAGCTTGCTTGAAAGTAAAACAGAAAATCATGAAGAGAAAAACCTTGCTCAAGTAGAGGCTCAATTGATAAGCCCTAAAGACAAAATAACAAAAGATATTGATGATGATTGTGTCAGTAGTGAGGAAAGCTCCTTTTGTGATACAGACACAGAGATTGAGAGTATCCAGGATGATCCAGAAGAACCAAGAGATCTGCTGTCTGTAAAGGAGAAGCTGAAAGACCGGAAATATGAATCTGTTTTGCAATTTCATGTTGACATGGCAAGGGTAATAGAAAATGGTAGACATCTTAATCGCAGTCAGACACGCAATGTTCAGGCAACTTACGCAAAGCACATGAAAGAGTATTTTCCTTGGTTTGATGCGAAAACAACAAATGTGTTTGAGTTGGTAGATAAACAAAGACCATTCCCAATACCACATTTGGATCATAATTATATATTTCGTACCATGGTTTCAGGCAATCGTCACTTCACCATGCGTGATGCTCCAGTATTTAGAAAACGGTCTACAAGCCCACTGAAAGCTACTATTCTGTCTCATCCTGATCGGCGAAAATGTGTTCTGTGTGGGAGAGAAAGTGATGATGATCCTAATGCTGCAGGAAGACTACTTTACCTTGGACAGGATGAATGGCTTCATGTAAACTGTGGACTCTGGTCATCAGAAGTGTATGAGGAGGTGGACGGAGGTTTACAGAATGTGTACTTAGCAGTGAGTCGTGGTCGCTTGATTAAGTGTTCCGCTTGCCTTGAGCGAGGAGCAACGGTGGGTTGCTGCCATAAAACTTGCCAGGCAACATACCACTTTCTATGTGCAAGACGAAGCTGTTGCCAATTTATGGAGGATAAGCGGATATTTTGCCCACAGCATGAGAGTACTTTGAATGGGGAAGAGAAATCTGATGATTTTAAAGTTAGTAGATGTGTTTATGTCGACATGGACTCTGAGAAGAAGAAGTGGAAACAAGTTCCTGGTAATCGTGTAAGCATTGCTATAGGTTCCCTTACTATAAAGAATCTTGGGAGAATCATCCCAGAATCTGATAGTGCTGAAGCCCTAATTCCTATGGATTTTACTTGTAGTCGTGTGTACTGGAGTACCTTAGACCCTACACGAAGAGTTACCTACACCTGCCGGACTAAGAGAGTAGTACCAACACTTGACGATGCATCACTTATGGGAAATATAGCTTTTCATAAAACAATTGATCATTCACTTGGGGAGGAAACTGTTCATAAAGAGATGACAGCTGTCAAGAAGTGGTTTAAACAACTTGAGGAGCGAAAAGTAGAAAAGAAGTCCCGTGAAACCAACATTATTCCTCCCCATCTCTGTCCTCTCTATCGTAGCATCAAAGAAAGGGAAGAAGAAATTAAAACTACCGAGACAGTTATCCGTTGTCGAACTCCGCCAGCAATTGTTGAATTAGATGTTCGGCAGTGTATTGACGATATAATTGACAAAGTTAGTCGATCTGTGGAAGAAGAGAGTTTACTTTTAGACACAGACTTGCCTGCTATTGTTAGTGCTGATGACAATGAATTGATATCAATGGTGCTGAATGACCTTGATGCATGTGACCCCATCACTTTACAGTCTACTCCCTCAACCTCAGGCAGACCAAGCCCACTCGATATTGACTTCCTGAGCACCTGCGATCATATGATGGACTCAGGGAAAGTGACTCACTCAGGAAACATGACTCGGGAGACTCAGGAAACAGAATGCGACCCACAAGTGATGTTGGGCACCACTCTCTCAACTGGTTGCGACTCTATCCATGACACATACCAGGTGGAATCCCCAAATATTGATGTTAAAGAACCCATAATTGAGACAATATCACCTCCAACTACTCAAGATCTTGGTCCTGTGCCTTCAATATTATTGCCTACTGCCAGTATTAATAATACTCAAAGTTTATCTGCAAATGGCAGCAACAGTAATGTCATTAATTCAGGTAATAGCTGCAACAATTGTTGCAGTGAGAGCAAGAGTGAGAGCACCAGCAGCAGCAGCAGCAGCAACAGTAGCAGCAGCAGCATCAGTAGTAGTAGTAGTAGTAGTAGTAGCAGTAGCAGTGAAAGTTCTAGTAGCAGTAACATGGCCAGAGAAAGTAGTAGCCCAGAAAGATGTTCTGAAGGTACTGTGAGTAACACTAGCAGCCCAGACACAAGCTCCAGAACAAGCTCTGACAATGTCAGTAATGATATACACACTGGCAGTACAGATAGCAACAGTGGCAGTGAAACTTCATCTCAGGGTGCTGGTTGTGGTGCTAAAGCTCCATGCACATCTTCAGGAAAAACTAGTTCCTCTTTGAAGCAAATTTGCAGAGTTTTACCCATGCCCTCTACAAATAGCAGGCGTTCCTCATCAGCTAGTGAGCACAGTGATTCAGTTGGACAGACGGGATTAAACCAGTCTTCTGTAACTTCTCGACAGTCGCCACGAAATTCAGATGAAAATGAAGCAAGTAATACCAGTGGAAGAGGAAATGAACGCAAGAAGATCTGTATGAAGAGAAACTATAAGACTGTTATTAAGAAATATCCTCTCAGAAGTGGCATGAGAAAAAGCAAGCCGTATGAAACTGTACAAATTGAGATAAATGAAACTATAGAAATTCCAGGTGGAGAAGGATCTGGTATGGTGCATAAAAGTTTGAAAAGAAAATGGAGTGGGATTTTGGATTCAGAAGAGGACGATCATTGTCAGAAGGACTCAAATTGTGGTCAAGAGGGGCAAGGTAATTCCACACACGGGAGTGATGCAGAGAATTCAAAAGAAAATTCTGTATCCAAGAAAGTTTTAAAATTTACAGATGACAACAATGACATTACAGTCAGTATTGTCAACAATAACAACAACCTCTGTGAATTTTCAAAGTCACGGGGCCACAGATACCGCCATAAGACTGTCTTGCAATTGGATGGTGCAGCTGATGGCTCTTCATCTAGTGCTGAGATGAGCGAGAGTCAGGATGAGGGAATTGAGGATAGGCAAAGGTTTCGAAATCGGGAGGATCCTCAAACGCCACCTCTTCACTCAGCATTAGCTATGCGTATCAAGGAGCAAAGTCTGGCCAGAAGTTCACCAGGAGAGGAAGGACCTTACAAGTGTGCCAAATGCAAGAGACTCTATAGGTAAGTTTTACTTTACTGAAAATTGTTGCGTCCCCAAGAGTCAGGTATGGTGTAAGGTTTGAATGGTAGTAAGGAAACTGCATGATCCACACTCTTGGATAATGAAGAAGAGTTAATGCTATAGATATTAATATAGGTAACTGTATGTACTGTATATATTGATTGATACTAATTTATTCCATATCTCTTTGCCAGTTATGGCTTTGGATGCAGAAAAAATTGCACATTTTATCTTTCAAACTCTTTGGGCATGAATGTTGAAAGTCTAATAGTAACATTTCAAGTAATTGTTGTGTCTATACAATAGTTCGCTAGTTACAATTGCAAATATTTTATTTTCTTATGATGTTAATGCATAGTAAAGGCATTACAGTATGGCTACGTTTTGACAAAAAGCACAGAAAACAAATTCATTAGTTTGTATATCTGTTCATTCATCTTTATACAGTGATGTCTCACTCGAACAGACCAGTTGGTTTAAAAGCCTTCCACTGTACTGAGATATTTAATGAATGTTCCCATGTTTGTGCTATAATTAATGTGATTTTATCGGGGCAGATGTTAGAATATCTTGATAATTATCTTGATATCTTGATCTTGATATTGAATAACATAGCATATCTTGAGCATATCTTGATAATTAAATAACGTGGAAAAAATATGTTATTTCTTCATTCTCTGGAATATCTGAATATTTGTATACTGTATACAAAATCCAAATGATAAAGGTTCACTTGGACTGTAATTCTTCCTTAATATACAGACATCTGTTGAACCAAGCTCCGTTCCAGTGAGGCACCACTGTACAGAATATACTGTAATAGCATATTCATGCTGATACATTTAATTGATGGGGCAATAGAATTGAAGAGATGACCTATAGATACAGCCCAAAAATTTCACCTATCTGTTTTGGGCATTTCAAGATAAATGGTTCAATAAACACCAACAATCATTATACAGTACATTGTAACCTTTAAAATCCAAATAATTTTTAAGGAATACTGTATAATACTAACAAATATTAGATCTATTTTCTGTTGGATCACCTTGCAGGAATTTGAATTTGATCTGGTTTCATGTACAGTGGGTGGGTACTGTAATGGCTGTATCTATACAATACAGTAATTTCCACCTGGTCATATTTTTGTCACTTTTAACTGTTTTTGTACTTTTAGCAAGTAATCTTACACAAATAGTGTAGTTTAGTCATTTATTATGTACCTAATACCCATCCTTTTGGTGGTAGTGGAAATGGTTACAGAGGTACATAATGAGTTCAGGAACTGAACCTCACAAAATAATAGCCAAGCCAAAAAAATAGCTAAGCCATTAACAATTTTGTGAAGCTAATTACACAATTTTCTTTTTCTTTGACACAAATACATGTCCTATATATCTAACTATATATCAATAGTCTTTTTTTATATCACAAGTGATTCAAGAAGAGGCCTACAACATGCAGGCGATGAGTCACAATAACATGGCTGAAGTATGTTGACCAGACCACACACTAGAAGATGAAGGGACGACGACGTTTCGGTCCGTCCTGGACCATTCTCAAGTCGAAACGTCGTCGTCCCTTCACCTTCTAGTGTGTGGTCTGGTCAACAGGCCTATAACAGTCTCAGTACAGGCAATTTACATCTGCAGTGAGACAGTCACACAGTTACTAACCGTGCTCCACACCCACCCAACTGGGCGGTAGCTTTGCAGTCATCTGCATGCTGCTCCCACAGTAAGCAAACTTTGGATACGTTTCTTAAGATTTCTGGTAGTACATAATTGTGAATAGAGTACTTGCACATTTCTTGAACACCATCGGGCTTTAATTTTAACTAGTTTGTGGAGCAGTTTATAAGTGCTGTACAGTACTGTTCTGTTGTTTTCAATCCGATTGATGATCTTCATTAAGGTATGTGCAAATTATAGTTTTTATAATAATTATAACATAAGATTATCATTATTTCTACATTTTATTATTTGTGTTCAAATATGCACAAAAATATGTTCTAGATGTTTGCTACTGTATGAGAAAACTCAAACATTTGGTGATAAATACCCTGGAGAGGCCAAATGTTGAGAAGTCTGCATTATGCTCTATTCTGGGTTCAGTTCGGAACAATATAGTACTAATAGATCATATTTAGTAGGTTACACTCTACAACAAATTTTAACTTTTATCTGTTGCTGTAATGAGAACGTGTGTGTTATGAAGTCAACCATGCTGTCAGTTGAGTCAGTTGCTGAAGACAGTTGAGAGGCGGGCCCAAAGAGCCAGTGCTCAACCCCCGCAAGTACAAGTAGGTGAGTACAAACGTAAATCTCAATCTCATCCTGGAAACATTCATTGTTCAACATGTTAAACAAGCTACGAGGATGAGGGAAGGGGATGTTCCCTCCATGCTGGATTTGATATTTACCGGGAAAGATGAAGAGATATTTGACATTCAGTACTTCCCTCCCTTGGGTACAGTACAGAATGTTTCTTCCTCAACAATTATGAAAATGTGTGCAGTAAAAGAAGAACTGCAAGCTTTTGCTGAAACGACTTGCCCAAATCAAGCTGCAGTAGGCTGTTGCCTTAACCTTTTTAATGACACTGTGATGCCTCACAACAGACAAATGATAAAACATAGGGGAAAACAAATCTCTATGGGAAGATTTTTAGTGAGAAAAACAAGCAGTGAACCACAACCAGGTCCTAGTGGTATGCAGGCAAAATGTAGGAGAGAGAAAGTACTCCAGAAAAGTCATCACTGCCTGATGTTATAACGGAAGGGGACTTCCCTTCCAAACAGTAACACCTCTCCTTCTCCTCCTCACCGTCTTCCAAACGCCAACAAGAGTCGTCAATAAAGGTAAGATGAACATACTGTACTGTATTGTAGTTAGAAAACAAAATTGTATTCAGTATAAAATGTATTTTTAAGATATGTTTGGGGTGTAGAACGGATTAATTCAATTTATATTATTTCCTATGGAAAAATTCGTTTCAACTTACGACCCTTCTCTGGGAACGGATTAAATTCGTAAGTTGAGGCCTCACTGTACAGTAATAACAGGAATTGACCAAATTGACAAAGAGGAATTCCTGAAACCAGCAACTTCACGAACAAGAGGGCACAAATTCAAACTAAGGAAACAAAGGCGCCAAAAAATAATTTAGAAAGTTTTCTTTTGCAAACAGTAGATGGTTGGAATAAGTTAAGGTGGTGGAGGCCAAAACTGTCAGTACAGTAGTTTCAAAGCGTTACGTGACAAACAGTATTGGGAAGACTGGCCACCACGAGCAAAGCGCTCGTCTTGTAACTACACTTGGGTAGTTACACTTGGGTAATTACAACCTATGTACTATGGCCGAATCTGTCCAATAAAGTGGCAGCTGAGTCCCTACTAGGAGGCATGACTAAATGGTGAATGTATATGTCATTTGAAAACAATGATCAAATGACATCAAACTCATAGGCTTCAAGGTGGAATGGATTTCCCACCCAACAGGTGGCATGACAGTAAGAATGGCCATCGGAATACATCAAACCGAGGTACAGCTTTCAAATTCTCGCCCTGTGAGGACAGATCTGTAATAAACTCTGACAACTGCAAACAGCTTGCTGGGACCCAAAGGATAAACCAAGCAGGAACACCAGGCATAAGTTCTACTACCCAAATATAATAAATACTGAAAATAGCCTAGGGTGTGTGAGTGATGTGCCTTATAAAAAGTCCATGAACAACCTGTGCAACCTTTTAACAAAAAATGAGACAATGCCCATCCACAAGACCTCGTAGTGGAGTCAAAGATCCTTGCACTGCAAAGTGTGAAGCACCTTTCAACAGAGAGCCAGCCTCTCTGAGACAGCCACCTCAAATGCCCCCGGAGAAAGCTGACGACAAGGCAAGGGCAACGCCAGTGAACATCTCGAGAGTCTGTTTTTGATTCACCTCTGCACCTCTTGCAGGTAGGAGGGGGGGGGAGCAGGTTTTGGCCTCTAGTAACAAGGGCCTAGCAAGGATTAAATTAGTTGGAGCTTGCCAGACAACAGGTAACAAGGGGCTCCCTAGGACCCACCACACACTGGCATTTCATTACATTCATTACTTTTTTCTTTTATAGGTGGAGGTATTTTTACATATGGTCTATTGTATTGTATTCTTATATTATTTGATGGTTCTTGTATCCTCGCGAGCTTTTGAACATGCTGAAAGTATCAGCTTGTTTAGAAGCTCAGGAGGTAGAGCAAATTGCCCACTTGCCCAATCAGGTTGCAATGGGATACATGGGGGGGGGTGGATTACTGAATAGCAGTTTAGAGAGTGGGGTTGGTGTGATTCTAAGAAGTTACTAAGTCATTGTTGTGGGCATCTTGAATAGATCTTGAGAATGTGTGATGGATGTATTTGGTGTGTGTGTGTGTGTGTGTGGAATGAATGACAATGGTTACTGACATAGAGGTATGCATGTGCCTCTGCCATACATAATATAAACATCCTAATCAATTGATGAAGGGGGCCAAAAAGAGCATAATTTCTGCATTTGCTTATTGAAAGGAACATTTAAAATGTATATAGTACAGCAAATTGTAAAAATGCAAGTGTGTGTGTGTATGTGTTTTGTCAGTCTGCATTTGGATGCTATTGTATGAAATTTAGACTAAGTTTGGCATGAGGATAGAGGGCCTTCACAAAATGGAGGTCAACTATGAGCTGTTTACCACCGAGCCCAAAGGGCTATAGATAGCCTGCAAAACACCAAAATTTGGGGTCCGAAAGGACCCTAAGGGCACAGGTCCTTGAATGCCCTCAAACCCAACAGAATATAGTCTAGGAGGGATTCCATATTCTGTTTGTTTGACCTCTCTGTCCCTTCCACTGGGAGGGAGGGAGTGGTTAAGAGGGGCACTGCCTGGATGTTATTTGATGAGTTGGGAGGCAAGATGAAGGTAGGGTATGTATAAAAAGTTTCTTAAGCAGAAGAAACAAGAGTGAATGAAGAGCTTTGAATAAAATTGAATTTAAATCCTTTTAGACAAGAGAAAGCTAATTTAGATAGAGGCAAAACACTGATGGAAAGCGTAAAAAAAGCTAACAAGCAAATTAGAACTTAGTAGATGAAGGGAGTAGTATTTTGTTAGGTGGAATTTACCTCCTAACATCATTTTCTCCACTAATCACTAAAACACCTACTTCAACATTAATATACAATATATATATATATATATATATATATATATATATATATATATATATATATATATATATATATATATATATATATATATATATATATATATATATATATATATATATATATATATATATATATATATATATATATATATATATATATATATAATTATATAAAATATGTATGTATATGTGTGTGTGTGTACCCTTTTCTTTTCAGCCAGGATGCATGGGATATGCAATAATGCATAAATATAACTCATTACATTCAATAAAAACAAGAATGTAATGTTCATGTGTGAGAAACAAAAAATGGCCATAATGTAAAGAGTAATATTCTTGAGGAGTAACATGGGTTGCCTTTGTTAATCCATGCTCAAACTTTATTACCCAGACTCACCTCATGTTCCTCAAAACTTTTTATTAAAGGGCTTACCTAAAGAAATTCCAAATTTGCATCATTAAATATGATTCAAATCATGAACCACTTTAATCCTTAGTTTTGGTTCTAGTGCTTTTATCACCTGGCAAAAGAATAAAGCAGCATGTGGATGTTGTTTCAACTAGCTTTGGAAGATTGTCAACTATCATAGGACATGGGGAAATTTTGTTTAATGAAAGTTGACTAAGGTTTGCTGCATTAAAATTATTTTCTGGTTAATTATAGTTAATTGTCGATGCCAACTGGTTCCGATACGTTATTGTGGTTACATGTGCATTACAGGGTGTTTCCAAATTACAAGTGGGGTGCAGTCTGAAAAGGCATTCATAAGTTGGTCAAAGGACAGAGGCTGATTGGCCGTCTTCAGTTTCACTGGCTATTGTATATTGCTAAAAATTTGAGTATTCTCTTTGTTAATACAGTGGTGCCTCCAAACTTATTTTCAGCAAAATTTAAGATATAAGTTGTGTCCTTCTTTTTCTCACACACTACCTACTCAACATGTCCTCTCAAATAATATATTGCATCTTGATGTCAAAATCCCCAACCGATAAAATATGATGTATTATAAATCATAGCAGCTCTCAAACATTCACGTTTTTCTATGATGCAGGGGTCACTTGGTTAGGTTAGGCTCAGGTGTTTTAGTACAGCATTTTGTGTGTGTTGTGGCAACTCCGCACACGGGCTGATCTATTATCAAAACCTGACTGTATAGAGATTTCATCGTCATTGCCATTTTCTCCCATATCCCAGCCTCTGAACATGTGCTATTTATGTTTATCGCCTTTTAGAATAGTTGATTATCTACCCTTGTAGGATTGTTGTCCCTTCGTTGGTACTGGTGCCTCACCGCCACTTTTTCCCTTATCACCATCTACTATTACTAGAATTTTCCTTGATAAACATCTCAAATAGACCACAGAATGCACACTGGGTCGTGTTCCCTGGTGAGGAGAAAACTACTGAATGGAACAATGTGGGTCAACTGTATGGTATACTGGGCCATGGAGGTACTTTTGTAGCACCTCACTCAGCCACATTACCATATGGATGTGTTTCTTTTATGAGGATGCTGTATGATTTTTATACAACAGTAGATCCAAATACAAAAATGGGTACTGTACGTAGTAGGCTCTTCATAAGTTAGGGATCTTCTATATAAGAAAATAAGATACTTTTGATGGACCACTTAAATATTTTTCCAAGAAATTCCACTACAGTGGCTAGATTAGTTTCACATAACTGAAACAGCCAACTTATTTTCAATGAGATGCTGGGTTAGTGAATGATAGTAGTAGTTAATGAAAACAAAAGCCCTGTGGAAAATTTACGACTAAGTTTAACCCGTCCTCTTGACTAGTAGGCCTTGCTTTATTCATAATGGTCTTCAACATATAAATTACAAAGTACTGTACTATACTATTTAAAGTAGCAGCTCACAAATACCCACATTTTATGTAAATCTTTTGGTTAGGTTAATTGGGCAGCTTGGGTTCATGCATTTTTTATTAGATTAGCACTTTGTGTTTTGTACGTTGCTGCATATTAAGAGAATGGGTTGGCCAGTTAGTGATAGGATAACATTAAAACATTTCATTAAATCATCAATTGGTTTTATATTATGCCAAGGTGAGAGGGTATAGTATAGGAAGGAAAGTTAGCACTGTATACACTGTATGTAAGAGAGATGATAGCATACCTTTGAGAAATTGAAATAAGTTTATTGAAGTATAAATACACACAGTGATAAGGTAGGTCAAGCTATTCTCACCCCGTTCAGTACAATGTATTCATATTTATATATACTGTATAGACATCACAAACATATTACCGAACATTCTGAGTGACCTTGGAGGAAGGACACCTCTTTTTAACACTCCCTATTGCAGTGTATCCATAAGGTTAAGTCATAGTATTCTTGAATGTCAGAATACTTGGTACTACTGTAGTGCCCGGTGGCTGTAGCACATTTTTTGTGTTCTCTAATTTTTTTCAGGTACTATTTTCTCCAGTGTCCTTGTTAATACAGTGGCGCCTTTAGAAAATAAATGCCACTGTATTTTCTTAATCCATGTATTTAACCCACATTTCTACTTAATGTTGTTGTGCATCATAAGCTATTCCCTGTAGGGATAACTTATTGGTTTGTTATATATGCCGTATTCTTGGTCCAGGTTTTGGTTCAGTATATCGAAACCCCTCCTTGTATTCACTTGAAACTTTATAATATTTTAGTATAACCATATAATTAATATTCCTTGAATTATGGGGCAGTGTAACTCGAAGGCAGCTACAGTTTTGTTGTTATATGATCTATTTTATTACTGACAAGAGTTGTATATTTATGAGGTATAGTTTGAGGGACACTAGCAGCAATTGTGACTCCCTCTTACCTAACCTCATAATCTACCCACTAACATTCCTGGCCAACTGTGCCCACATTCAGGCCTCTCCGAGATCCCCCCCACCCCGCCCTTACATTAATACTCCCAAACACCTGTTATATTAGTGACACCACCAGCAACTACTCTCTCACTCCATCATACACCTGTGCTATCACCATCCTGACCCATCATACACCCGCATTACCACATCTTAATGCATCATACATCCACACTACCACCCTCCTGACCCACCATACACCACACCACTCAATAGTCCACACCCCCACCCACTCAAACCCTATACAACCTTATCCCCATAAAACCCCAATATATTCATCCCTACATTCACTCCATACCCAGTCACTTGGATTGGACGGTAGAGCGACGGTCTTGCTTTATGCAGGTCGGTGTTCAATTCCGGACTGTCCTAGTGGTTGGGCACTATTCCTTTCCCTCCATCCCATCCCAAATGCTTATCCTGACCCCTTTAAAGTAATATAGTCTTAAAGAATTGGTGCTCTCCCCCCCTCCCTCCTCTGGTACTCCCCTCCTTACCAAACCGTTACAAACTATATGCTCCCACACCGCCCCAATCACCCCACATCTAAGAGGCGGACTCTAGAGCTAGACCATGTGTACTTCTACCAACAATGTGTGCATCTTGCACACCACCACCAATTCACATTTCCTTCCTCTGTATATATACACATAGTATTTTAATATATATACAAAAGGGCATTATTTTTTGGAAATACACTTCCAGATATACACACATTATTTTAATATATATATATATATATATACAAAAGGGCATTATTTTTTTGGAAATACAGTACAGTACCAGTACTGTATTATGTTGTTCGTATCGAGGTATGCCTGTCATATGGACCAGGAGTACCTCCCTCAATCAGCTGCAATTATAACACATCTAGTTGTAGTTACTGTACTTTCTTCTTGTCTACTTATTAAGGCATACCAATTATTTATTTACATTTTCTAGAATGTGTGTGTGTCCGATGATGAGGATATGTTTGTGCCATATAATTTTATGACTTGTATTAATTTTTGCATGATAAATCACATTTCATAATTCAAAGCTATAATAAGTTTTCACTGCTGCTTGCTGTTCAATACTGAATATAATTTCAGGACAAAGGAGAGCTACGAGAAGCACATTGAAACCTGTACTTTTGAAGTTGATAGTTCAAGTACGTCAGAAGATGATGACGACTATGAAGACATCCATTCTGAAGAGGAAGATATAGACGAGCATTCTCAGCCAAACAGTAGTAAAACAGGCCAAGTAAATCTAGATTCGTCTATAATGTCATCTGTGGAATCCTCAGCAGAGCTGCCACTAGTGGCTGCATCTGAAATTCCTTCTATGCACATCTTGACACGAGAATCTGTAGCAAGTCATAAAATATCTGTGGGTGAAACTCTAGCAAGCAATGTAGAAGAACAGTGTGTGTCTGAAGACCCTGCTTACCAAGTTCATGAGTCTAAAGCTGTAATGTCGGTAGATTTCATGGGTAATATAAAATCTGGAGGGGAAGAACCTGCAATAAAAAAGCAAAGATTAGATGCAGCATTACCACGTCAACCAGGTGTTCATAGGCAGGTAAGAACAGCTATCAAAAAGTGTCCAAGTAGTCATGAGGATGTGGAACTTTTACATGTAGTGCGTGGCCCTCCACCACCAGGCACTGATGTGTTTGTGCCTCCTCCAGTATCTCCTGTAAAATTTAGCCCCATCGTTAAGAAAAGTGCTAGCCCAAGGCGTTATACAAATATTCGGCTGATGCGAGGTAGTCGCGGATACCAGTATCGCCGGGCTGCTCCACACATGCCAGTTCAAGAACATTACCAAGGAGCAAATTCTGGTATGCCAATGGCACCCCCTGCTAATCCAACTCCAATCCAAGTTACCATGCATACTATGGCTAGCACTTCTGGGCAGATACTAACCCAGGGAGCACCAGCTACCTTTCAACAATTTGGTGGCCAGTCAACACCATATCCAACTGCTGCTCAGTTGACCTCTCCAGTTAGTCACTTGAGCCCTGCTTTGCAGGTAGCACCACAGGTCACCTCCCAAGTAGCTCCTCAGGTGTCACCTCAAGTCAGTCCTCAGGTGCTGACTGTTGTGTCTGCTCCCTCTGTTGCCGTCCCACAGGGCTACACACTGCAGTATGTTGGCAGTTTTCGTGATGGTGAAATGGCTTCAGGTGGTGGTGGTCTGGTGACCTACTCCACTGCACCAATGGTGGTTCCACAGCCACAATTAGTTGTGGCTCCTCAGCAGAACTCTATGGTTGTTCCACAAGTTGTTAACACCAACATAACCTACTCTTTCACTGCTCCAGAAACACTGGTTATAAATCAGCCAGCTATGGTGTCTGGAATGCAATCAGTTCAATATTTACCTCAACAGCAGCAGCAGCAACACCACCACCAGCAACCGCAGCAACAACAGGCACCAGTGATGCACCACACAGACCAACAGGTTGGTTCTGTTATGCAATACAGTCAGGCCGGTGTTGCAACCCAGCACACACATGTACCAGTTTCACACATGCACCATGGGCAAGTGCACACACCATGTATCCAGTTCTCAGACCTGCAAGCTGGCCAGGTGTGCATGCAGCAGCATCACCACCAGCCACAATCAACTATTGGTACAAGGGAGATTTCATTTAGTGGTGGTAGCCCTAAACATCTTCATATGCCACAGTGCATGGTGAATTCTCCAAGTAGAGGAAATCTTGACATGTCATCTCTTAACCTACCTACTTCATCTACTACCAGTACTTGCTCCGTCCCAATTCACCGTCAACGCCCCCAGGCATCTGTAGCACCACAAGTAATTCGACCACCTCCAGTTCATACAACAACACCAACTGATAACAGTCTCATGGATACACAAGGTCATTCTCGTCTACCATTTGCAGACAGGCCATTAGTTGGCGGAGTGAGAACAGTAGCAACTGTTGCACCAGCAGTCATCACCACCACTTCTGTGGTCTCAGTCTCTACATGCAGTCCAGTCACTAAACTGACTTCAATTGAAACTAGCCCAAAAATAGCCACTGTAAGACCGAGACCCACTTATAGTTATCGTGATGCAATGAGAGAGAAGCAACTTGAGAGACAGAAGCAGCGGCAAGAAGTTTTACAGACAGACAAATCTAATGTACCTGAAGGACATCTCGAGTTTATCAAAGAACAAGAAAGACTGGATGCCCTTGCCTCCGACTCAGAAACAGATTCTGAAACTGAAACGTGTCAAGATGCCGAAGAGAAAGATGATAGAATGGAAACACAGTCATACAAACTTGTGTTACGCAAAGATAGTTCGCTTAGTTCAGGATTTAATGTTTTGCCAATATCAGGACCAGCTGCACCATTACCTGCTCCAGAGGTTAAAGAGTTAAGAATAAAGGCCAAAGTTTCAGTGGGTCCAAAGAGAAAAAAAGCCAAAAATCATGATCCAGATAAAGATCTCATATTTGTCAACAAAGACACTAATACTGACTTGTATGTAAATGAGCAGTTACCTAACTTCTCTGTAAATCCCATGCATACTCCTGCAGATGATCCTGCAATGTTTGAAAGACCCAAGACTTGCAACACTGAGCCATATATTGTATTTGAACTAACATCAGAAGATGGTTTCCGTGTAGAATCTCGCCACATTTCAGAGGTGTGGCAGAAGGTATTTGATGCTGTTGCTTCAGCAAGGGCAAGCATGCGAGTTGATTCCAAAATGCCAAGTAACTTGCAAACCTCTGGAGGTGCAATGTCTGGTCTTCACATGCTGGGCTTAACGCACAATGCTGTGCAGTATCTTCTGGAACAACTACCCGGGGCGAAGGACTGCCACAAGTACTCATTCCAGGTAAGCAGCTGTATATTGAACACCTTAGGTTCTTGATGGCTAAAATTTACTGATTATTCATTTGCTGTGAAATTTTCTTTTTGTTTTGTCTCCAATAGAAACTTGCGTTGTTATAACCAAGGTAGTTATGATAGTTGAAACAGGTATGTTGACAGCTAATTATCATGTTTTATAAACATACCTATTTTCTCTTAAGCTTACACACTGTATCACATATGATACATTACATTACACATACACTATCCATATGGTCAATCTTCCAAAATTCACTTCACCAATTCACCAAAAAAGATACTTTCTTTTAATCGCATACTGTGTCATTATCACGGTAGTACAGTCATCTTACTGTTATGAACACAGGCTATTATACTCCAAGTATGTTTTGTAACAGTGTCATTTCGTATTCTGTATGTTCAGAATAATGTATATCATTATAATTATAGTACATCTTACTGCTGTTTACAAAAGGTAATTATTGCAAATATAATGTGTGCACTTTGGTGACCAACAGTTCCATCGAAGACCACAAGAAGAAGGCGCTGTGGAGGAAAACCCTACTGGCTGTGCTCGTACAGAATCCTTCAAAGCACGCTCTCCTTATGATATCTTTAGCTGGCTGGCTTCAAAACACAGACGTATGCCTGAGCGTGCCCTAGTACAACAAGAAGAGATCCAGCTCTCTACTACAAGGTACGCTATCACATTAATGCATTTAATTTCAGTATTTATGCTGGAAATACCTGTACAGTATCTTAGTTTATTAATATAACTACAGCACCATGTGTGGCATGTAATGATGTATAGTATTAGGGTTGGGCAGTATTTAGCCTTTGATGATTGGTTTAGCTGAGATGGGTGACAATAATAATAAATAACATTGGAAAAAGTGGAGTCAGGATTAGGTTTTGTTCAAGATCGATGTTACAGTGCAAGTAATTGATTTAGTAGCAGATATTCTTCAGTTCCTGAATAATCAAGAATAATTTGTAAATACTGTACTGTAGTCCATATGAGGTGTCCACTGTAGAGAAAAGGCCCATGATAGTGGAAAACTGAGTAGTGATAACATAATATACCATATATGTAATGTTTGCACAATGCTGTAATATATATAACAGTAATTGTTCATTCAGTATATTCACACTATGTAGTATCATATTAACAAGCACCAGCACACACCAACAATGATCCACTACACCAACCCATAGCTTTAAAGGTTAGGTGTGCAGGATTTTTTATGAATTGTCATGTACAGTGTGGCCGCACGGACATAAACCCCCGAAATGTTCAATAGGTAGGTATAGTACATTCATTCTCTACAAATAACTTACACATAACCTTATCTCATGCCATGCCCTGTATATTGTTCACACTCAATATCCCTCTTTGCCCACATCTAGTATTTTGGGAAGGTTGACAGTGGTGAGTCTTAACTCAAACCTCCAGAAATCTGTAATACAGTACCAAAAACAAATTGTCACTCTCAAAACACTTGGTGCAGGAAAGAATATAAATATTTATACAATGTATCTGTTTTATCTCCTTCCAGGCGTGCAACAAGCCTAGAGTTACCAATGGCAATGCGTTACCGACACCTTCGAGAGACAGCTCGAGAGGCTGTGGGTGTCTTTCGCTCCAGCATTCATGGTCGTGGATTGTTTTGCAAACGTGATATTGATGCTGGTGAAATGGTCATTGAATATGCGGGTCAGGTATGATAGTCAAGTTATATTACAGCTTGAATATTATATGTTCAGTTTATGAGCTTTGGATGAGATTTAGTTCTTTAAATTGGTTAAATATTTGATACATCTTCAATATTTTGAAACTGATTGTGCAAGGGCTAACTTTCTTACATGCATAAATGGTTTCTCAAAAGCCTGCCTGGGGATTAAAGTTAGTAGCAAGCCTTGCTTATGATGTAGGATATGATTGACGTAATAGATCTAGTTAATTAATCCTTTTTTATTAAATATGTTGGACCCAGCACACAAATGTGAATGTTTAAATACATATTCTGTGACCAAATTATTTAAGTTCTCATGGCTAAAATGCAGTAAATCATGAATTACTGCTAAATATCTTCATATTTCATGAGAGTGAATATTGCTATCTTTAATGTAGCTAATGCTCCACATAGATCTTATTATAATTGTTGTATTTCTACTTTATTTCCCACTATTAATGACACTATTCAGTAAGGCAAGTGGTGTAAGATCTTTATACCATTGTGTTTTGACTACTCCAAGAAAAGCATTTATTTTGTGCATTTAAATAACACTTCCACTGCATCTTTTGACACAAAGTACTCATTGAATCCAGTCACATGTTGAATATTTTATTCCCTTATAATGCCGTCACATTTATGAAGGAACAAAGTATTTGGTGTTGTTTATCCTTGCCCATTCTCCTGTACATACCCAGTCAATATTATTGTTGATCTTTTTTTAATTGATTGTGAATGCTGTCAATGTCTATTTTGCAAATGCACAACATACTATTGGTACATTATAAAGGAGTGCAGATATATTTTATTCCCTATATTAATATTATTACAAATTAAGATTTGCTAGAATTTTCAATGTTATAGATTATTGTTTGATGCTATTCGTTTGTTACAGGTTATCCGCTCCAGTCTTTGTGACATGCGTGAGAAGGATTATGAATCTAAAGGTATTGGCTGTTATATGTTCCGCATCGATGACGATACTGTAATTGATGCTACAATGCATGGCAACGCTGCAAGATTCATTAATCATTCTTGTGATGTAAGTAGCTTTATGAGCAGGATAAAAGTTAATATACCTGACAGATATATTTTTTGTCATCCAGCTATACTGATGAAGCATGCATGTATTGTTAGAGAAAATATAAATATATATATGTATGTATGTCTTAATTAGGCCATTTTTAGCCTGATCAGTACAGTCAAGGTGAACAAAGCGTTACCATCTGTGTTTTTCATAACCTTTCTTTTTGTATGTGACAAGAAAGAGAAGCTCTTTTCTGGCACCTAAACAGTGACAAAAAAAATGATTTATATGACCTTAATTCTTAATTTTCTTTGCTAATTAGCATCACTTATTGCATTAAATGAAGTTAAAGGTCAAAGATTGTAGTACAGAATTTAAGAGTCGAACTTTGATTATTAGGTGATATATATAATTGATATTTGAGATGTGTGCGAGTGTGTTGTCACGCACACAGTTGAGAGGCACTAGTGTGCACGCTACATCCATGTGTCAAAAAATTTGGCTAAGATAGCTTTCTTTATCTTGGGATTTCCTGCAAAACATGGAATGAATGGTCAAGGTACTGTTAGTCATCATTTTTAAAAGTATTGCACTTGAAAATCAGTCTACTGTATGTATGCTATATATTAATTCCACATTTATTTGTCTTGCAGCCTAATTGTTATTCACGTGTAGTGGATATCTTGGGCAAAAAACATATTATCATATTTGCCCTACGGAGGATCCTTCGTGGAGAGGAACTTACTTATGACTACAAGTTTCCTATCGAGGACGACAAGATTCCCTGCACGTGTGGCACACGACGATGTCGCAAGTACCTCAACTGAAGCCCTCCAGGAATGCAGCTGTCTACTTCTGTCTTGTAATCTCCATAATCATTGCTACCAGTTTCTTGATGCAACATGCTAAAAACTAATTGTATCAAAGGTACCACAAGCAAGTTTTCAATCCAGATAGAATTCAATGAGCACAGTATTTGAGTTAGTTATTTCATTATGAATATTCATATATAACAGAATATGCCAGTGGTTCAGAGTTGTTATTCAGATTTACTGGGCTATAGGAACTTTCAAAGAAAAAATCACATTTATTATAGTTTTTAGTAAAACTGAATAACATCTCTTATCTTGCTATGATTAATTGTTTATGTTTTCTCTGTGAGAAGTTCATTATTATCATGGCATGACTTAATTGCACTGAAAGATAAATTTATATTCTGAAAATGTCCCTCAGATGAAGTAACTGAGGATGTACTCTATATGCTGATGTGATGTGTTCCTCAACTGAAACTGCTTAGGATAAGTTTGTCTACTGAAACCCTCCTGGAGGTGCCCCCCCAGAGTCCTTGAAGTTCCTCAGCAAATCCCTGGTGAAGGTTCCTCGAATACCCTCCAGCGCCACGATCAGTACTGCGGGTCAGCTGGAGACGGCAGCAACCCAAACACATGCATTAAGGTTTCCAGTTGCACTTGTTACAATAATCATAAACTCCTTTTTGATATAATCTGATGTTGCCATTAATTTGTTTTATAATTTGCAAGTTACTTAATAACTGGTGATGTAGAATATTGCAAGGGACGAGCTGTGCTGGGTATAACCGTAAATAATGTTTGTTGTGTTTAATGAGTTTTTCTAAACTTTGAAACTAGCCTGACATACCTCATATGATCCCTTATGTATAGTATGTAGAAATCTCAGCCTACTGGGGATGTGTTTTTGTGTCTGATAGGAGCCAATAATGGATGTTTGTTAAATTTGGCAATGCCTTCTTGAGTAAACAAATTTTGTGCTGGTAAAAAATATAAAATTTTGTTCTTTACCGAGCATGGTTCAGAGAATGCCTGTTTACCAAGAATGGTATTGTATAATTTGGTATAGTACAGGTAATTATTATGGGAAAACTAGAGACCTCGGAGTGCATTTGGCATAAGCGTGCACCGATTCCTATAATTTTAAGTAGATGTGTAATATCACCTCTTGCATTTTACTTTTGTGATTCTTGACAATTTTGTGATAAGTTCAGTGATTTTGATCCACTTTTCAAAATAACAAATACTTTCCAGACAGAAAATGGGTAACATTGTCCTCTTGAAACCGAACCCTCGAGATATACAAGAGGTCACTAAGATGTAGCCTAACTTGGAGGAAGTAACACTAATGCCATGGGAAACTTCAACACCCAAGCAGAGTACTGTTTAAGTGCTATACTTCGGGGGTTTGATTACATAATTGGAAATCTGGCACACAATCACTGTGCTGATCACATGCTTTGTAATATAACAAGAAGCAGTACATTCACTAGATTCATCATAATTCAACTAAAATATAAAAATAAATCTAACATTCTGTTAAGAAAGCAGTTTCATGGTCAGGGTAACATTAATGTTCATGTTATAAAGACAGTTGTGGGTTTGTAAACATATCACCAATTCTTCTTGTGGATCTGAAGATGATGAAAGATGTGATATATTATGTTAATCGATTCTCCGATAAATACTACAAGGATTGTAGCATTTGTAGGCGATGTCCTGGTGGATATAGATATACAGATTGATCTACTGAATGTACAGGTTGTACTCTGTATTGTTGACAGTTGTTTGCTCTAGTGCGATTCTTTGTGAGGACTACTTACCTTACAATTTGAGAATTCCTATTTTAGATTGTGGGAAATGTGTGTCTCATAGTTACATTATATGTACACAATCATGAATTATCAAAAGTATTATGGTTATTAAATATAAGAACAAGTCCAGTTCTATGGTGAGAACAAGTATTCCTGGTCTTGCAGGGCATTGAGGCTCCAGGGAGTGTGAATCTGTTAAAACATGAATAACTAAAAAAGTTTTATCTATATGTAACTGCCAGCATCTTTTAATGGATTTGGATCAAGTTAAATAGGAAAGTTTTGACACTACACAGGAAAATGACCAAATGGTGCTACTAGGTGGTTGATTTATTTTTTCTATGTTTAGGTGTTTTTGAAAAGCATTGTCATTAAACTTACAACATTATTTGAGATTAAATCAGATATTTTGAAATTGTAGCAAGGATTAAAGTGGGGAGGGGGGGGGGGGCTTAATGCGACAGCAGTAGTATAGTGGCAGCCATAGTTCCCAAGGCAGTATTGTGGTCATGGGTCATTATTGTTCACAGTAAAGCTGGTGCCATTGTTATTTACTACCATAGTACCTGTACCACTTCGGTTATGCCTCAGAAATAGTTCATGGGGCAAGGATTAGTGTCACAATGAACTTAGTGTGATGCTCTACTGTAGGAAAGGCTGGCATGCACTTTATACTACTTGGCTGCAGTTAGTGACTTTGCCCCTACGTCTGCTGGACACTAAACAGCTACAAGTGAGCAATAAAAATTAATAAAAGATACCATCTGTGTGCCTAAATTTTGTGATAAGCTGGATGGTCTTTTTAAAAGATCATGTTTTTTCAGGGCTCAAGTAAACTAGTTCAAGGGGGATGTTATAGTTTAAAAATGATATTTAAATATTTTGGTGTTGGTTTCTTAGTTTCATAGACCATAGCAGTGCTATGTGTTCTTTTGATAGAAATTTCACATTACTCATTTCACACACACAAGCAACGATTAAACCATAGAACCTACTACAACCAATTATGGTAACCTTGGTAACCAGGATGCAAATATGGCAGTTTCACAACAAAACTGGATTCATCTCTTTGTAAATGTTATTTACTTGTACATATGTATTTTGGCTTCACCTTTTCCAAATGTGAATGGAATGCTTTTTGAAAGTGTTTTTAATGTAAAGAGAATAGAGTTTTTATTTCATAGATGAATTTTATATGAAGTGTGCTAAATTTTTGGAACCACCAACTGTAATTTGTGCCATCAAAAATGAGTACAAAGTTAGCATTTAGCTGTTCTTGTGACGGGTACGAATAAAAAAAAATATTCCTGATTTGTACTCAAGAGTACTAAAGCTCAAGTTGCAGAACCTACCGTGATAATGCCCTTGTTAAAACAAGACCTCATATTTCTGTTTTCAGTCCAGTGACTGCCCAAGTATTATTCAGTAGAGCACTAATTAGGGCATGCTCAAGGTAAGGCCTGGAACTTGGACATAAGGCACTAGTCACCCACATGGCGTTTAGTGGCATGTTTGGATGGCATGGGTCTAAAAACTGTTCAGAGCAAAGTACAGTATTTAATTTTAAAATAACCCAATGCCTAACTCTAATGTTATTTAAAAAAAAAAAAAAACTGATGGTATTTTGAAGTTTTCATAAAATTTCAGCAAGAATGTGTATCACATTCTTATGAACACATCAGTTTTTGTTCCATAGTGCTTCAGTTGTGTGGCATATATTGAACAAACTCCTGTGTATGTTTTAGGTTTCTTTTAATTGAGTTGATGGAAAATGCAAGTTTTGGTAAATAAACAAAATACTATTAGAGGTTGTTATACGATGGGTATTTTATCAAAGCAATTATAAAATAGATTGATTTCAGTGTGTAACGTTTGTGTACGACTACTGTATATCATTTTTTTAACTAGATAATGAAAAAATCATTCTTGGTAAATGAAAATATTATGATATTAAGGTTATATGATGGATATTTCATCAAAGCAATTTTAATAGTGTATTCTTTGCTTTAAACAGCTTTCAGTTTGATGCCATGAAATGCATGCCAACTTGTTTGACACTTGTCCGATCCAGTTTGGTTTATAAACCGTTCAAGGCACAACATTAATGACCTTTCCATGTGTAATATTGCTATTAAATTGTTTGAAATATGTAAGAGTTTAACAAAAATTATGTTTAACAAAGCTTAAGATTCTTTGTTCATTAGATTTTAAGATGAGCAATGTCTAACAAAAATGTTATTTTTCATTAAATAAAAAAAAACTGCAATGGAATTGTCATTGATGCTAAATTAACCAACAAATTACAAACCTGAGTGTTGTTATCAATGTTAATAATTCCTACAGTTCAATAAAGCACATGTGGTTGTTACAGCAAATGATGGGTATCATTCCAATGTTCTGTAAGTGTTGCTTTTACTTAGAATATAAGTTACACCCTTTTCATTCCTTACCAAAGATATATTTTTTTTTTAAATCATGTTTATAAATACCAGGCACTTAGAATTTACAAAGTAGTGTTATAATCTGAGTTTTATCCCTGTACACTTTGTTTCTCCGCTGATTACTAATGCACTTTTGTACCACATTTGCACTACAGCTGTTCCACAAGTGTAGTCTACCATACCTGTAGCCTACCAACCACTCCTGTACAATATTTGTAACACATGCTATCACAGCTCATATTTGGAATCCCTCACAGTCTCAGTTTTGTGGGTAAGTAGAAAGTTATATTTACTGTTTCCTGCATAAGTGCGAGTTTGTAAAATGTGAGAACTCGTCCATATGTTCGCTGATGGTTTGTATCATTTTCAACTGATCCATTCAGTTAGCTTTGGGCAGAGCAAGTGTTACTGGGTCACTAAATAAAATTTTCTTACTGCGCTTGAAGAATTTTCAAATGTTACCTATTCCCCAACATGTATAATCTAACATAAATAATTAATTGAGGATAATCTACCATCCTCAATGCCTTGAGCGGGGGGTGAAATATCCCATGTCAATGCCTTGAGGCATTGGGTTATCCCACGTTAATGCCTTGAGGTGGTGGGTTATCCCATGCCAATGCCTTGAGGTGGGTTATCCCACGTCAATGCCTTGAGGTGGTTGGTTGTCCCACGCCAATGCCTTGGCGTGGATGGGTTTCTTTCTCCACTGGTATGGAGAGCAGTCAATTGTGGCTTATGATGTGGATAAGCTCTTGGCAGACATCAATTTCCACTTCTGAAATTCTAGGACAATCCTAGAGTTTTGTTAATGAATCTCAATAATTAAGATATTAAGATATATATTAAGAGTAAGTGATAATAACCAGCCTTGCACGCGCCTCTGAATTTGCCTTTGGATCTTGCTCTCCCAGTGCCAAATTTGACTTTGACAAGTTATCAAGCGACATCAAATGTAATAGACCCCCAATCTGAATTGTGCACTTTTAGATTACAGTACATTCTCATGCGTCCTCCCTAGCATCCAGATTTGACTAAGGAGACCCAAATCATGTTTTTGGTCATTTTCAATTTATTTTTTATTTGTGTGTGTGTGTGTGTGTGTGTAGCCATTATATAGCCTAGATTATTAACTATATTTTGAGCTTTATTTGAAAGAAAATGGTATTTAGCCTACTGGAGACTAAAACCAGAACCAGGCTCCCTCAAAGAGGGATGTGGATCATTATGATCATCTTCACTAAGAAAGCAGACGAGCCAATACAGACTAGCTCTGGCTCGGTACAGCTCGATTCATGAAAACAAAGCACTGAAACAGACAATGTAAAAGAAACTTGAAACAAATTGGTTCATTCAAAACTGCCTATGAATTATCCATCCCGGTATGCTGCCAAGCCACCAGCTGGCTATATGCTGGGCAAGCTGGAATCCCTTCTCCAGTCTTGTTGCTGATGCACGAGGGTTAACTTCTTGCCTTTCCCTAGCTGTCTGGCATCAAAGGTTCAATTCTTCTCTAAGATTTTAACTGTATATCTTGAAGCAAACACTGCTGGCCTTCATTTGGACTCTTGTTTTGTGGTCCCTTTTTGCCTAGCATATCACTCCTAACTTTTTGGTATTGTGCTTTGCGAGCATGTTTTCTAGCCACACATTTGAGTGAATTTGAGGTTATCTGCACTTGGGGCTGCATGAGTTAAGGGCACTCCTTTAACATTGGCCCTGCATGGCCATAGATAACTTCTCTGGTGTGTTTGGGAGTTCACACTCGAGAGGCTAAGCCATAGTTGTGGAGAGCCTCGCCTGGGGTAGAGCAGGAGTCATTGACTCCTCTGCAAAACCTAGTAGTTGGGGCATTCTGTCTGTTTTCTAGGGTGCCTTTGGGTGTATGCGCTTGTTTATACAGCATGTTGCAGGCACCATAAGTTTATTCTTTAGACTGCTTGTTCTTATGGCAAACATCCCTAGTACCTGGGTGTCCGGCTTGGTTAGTTGGCTTCAGACCCTAGTGGTGTGGCTCATTGTGGATCAAACTATTAAACCTGCTCTTGCTACATACGAGTTTGATGGGCCCTCGCCAGTTTTGTTACTTGCCGTCAATCATTGTCTTTCTCTGCCATGCTGTTTGTTTAGTTGATGAATACAAACCTAGAATCCTACTATACTTTTGCTTGTTTGATCTATCTAATCATTCTACCTTAGGACAAGGCTTTCCAGACAGCTGCCACTTTACTGACTTGTTTTTCCAGTTTCATGATTTCTGGCAAGGTCCTTGTTTGGATGTCCCAGAATTGCCCATTTGATGTTTAAGAATCTGGTTTTGGAGGAGAGGGTGAATTCCACCTGGTCTGTTTGCTCATCCTCTTCCTTCTCCAGCTGGTGTGGTGCACCTAGCATATATCCCCCTACCCGACCTGATTAAGGCTTCAACACGTCTGATGGTTTTGGAGTCATGTTGGGGTTTAGCTGTAAATGTAGCATGGCTGACTCCAGGAAATGCCCCATCTACTTTGACAATGGAGAAATTTGAGCCATTCCTTCCTACCAGAAATACAGAGCCTTCCCCCTTCACAATTACCTGGCTCTGACTAGAAAATTGGATTGGCTGCCAATTTCTGGTGTGGTGATAATGGGTCCTATTACATCTGTCCAGGGAGAGTTTCAGAGCATGGTTTGCATTTAAGAACAGGGTTGTGTAAATAATAATGTATTTTATATTAGACTGGGACATTAGCTATGGAGTTCAGACCTACCAGGGACCAGCGTCAGAACCTGGCCCTTCAGAGAGGTCGCAGGGAACAATGGCCCTGGCAAACCCTCCCTGTGGTTGGGGTTTTTTCTTATCTGCTGTAATGTAAAATTGCTACATTGTTGGGTATGTTAGATGTACAGTGTTTAGTGAGTTTCATATTTATTTAGTAGTCCTGGATACAGCAGTGTCGTAAACGTTGAGACGGAGCTTGGAGCAGAGCCGAGTGTGGCCGGAGTCGCGGAGCTCTGTGAGAGAGCGTTGTAGCCCGATGCAGTCCTAGTCTGCTGTCTGTTCTGTGTCGAAGCTGTAACATCTTGGAGATGATCAGAACTGCCTACACATAGTGCTACATTCTTGACTGGAAATTATACTGTCGACTATTCACAATTCGCTTGGTTATATTCGGTGACTACACCTCAGCTTCCTCCACTAGGAGAGGTGGATGGAAGAACACTAGGAGAGGTGGACGGAAGAACTGTTACCTGTAAGTAGGGATAGGATTGTAGCTTGTGTATTTAGTGTTGTTTAGTTATGCCATTAAGATAATGAGATAATGGAGTGAGTCTAAGGTTTACTCGCTACACTGCCATCAACCGGGGTTAGGCACCTAGAAAGGTAGGCATAACAAAACAAACCCCCCACATGGTAAGAAACTAACAACAAAAACCCAACAGAGAGGTAGAACTCCCTACAATCCCAAGGAAACAAGCTAGCAAGCAAACGTAACACTACAGCTTCGCTCGTCCGCGCAGCCCTCCCCTCCCTGTAGGGGGTTCTACATCTCTGTTCTGTTTTTGTTAGTGTCTTACCATGTGGGGCTTTTGTTATGCCTACTTTTGTAGGTGCCTAACCCCAGTTGATGGCAGATAAGGAAAAACCCCCAACCACAGGGGGGTTTTCCAGGGCCATTGTTCCTTGCAACCTCTCTGAAGGGGCCAAAACATCCTAGGTCCAAAAGGGATGGGGGGGGGACAGAAAAATGAGAAGAAAGCAATGGCTCCACCAGCACAGCATATGAGGTGACAACAGTACCTAGTACAAGACACTGGACAAGAAAAAAACAATTAACAAGGAAAAGAAAGTGGTGAAAGAAGTGCCACAAACCCTCATCCTACCGCTGAGAAAAGGAATGTAGGTGGGATACCACGAAAGAAGTTACCTGTCTGCCGTGAAGATGAAAAGGATGCTTAGAAACCTCAAAACACGAAGAGCCAAGGAGAAGGTTGAACCAGCGAAATACATAGTCTCCACATGCAGGCGATGAGTCACAATAACGTGGCTGAAGTACTGTATGTTGACCAAACCACACACTAGAAGTTGAAGGGTCGACGACGTTTTGGTCCATCCTGGACCATTCTCAAGTCGATTGTGATGAGGACAGGTAGGGACAGGCAATAAATAGGCAAGAGAGAGCTGAGGAGGAAAGTAAGGTGTAGTGGATAGTAGTAATAATGAGAACTGCAGAAGGCCTATTGGTCCATACGAGGCAGCTCCTATTATAACTACCGAAGGAGATAGTAATAGGAATAAGAAGAGAATAGCAAGGGAGCGTAGGAGAAGACAATGCACAGAAAAAGGGAGAAGAGAGAAAGAAAAGGAAAGAGAAAAAGAAAGATAAATGGTAGGGGTAAGGTTATGTTAAGTCACGTTTGTTAGAAAGATTAGAGCATTTGAGTATATACTGTGAAAGGGAAGAGTCCACAGCAACAAAGCCAGGACTCAAGTTCATGTTGGGTACATTGTGTATAAGAGCCGATTCTACAAGACGGCGTCTGTGTAGAGTGGAGTCTAATCTTTCTAACAAACGTGACTTAACATAAGCTTACCCCTTCCATTTATCTTTCTTTTTCTTTCTCTCTTCTCCCTTTTTCTGTGCATTGTCTTCTACGCTCCCTTGCTATTCTCTTCTTATTCCTATTACTATCTCCTTCGGTAGTTATAATAGGAGCTGCCTCGTATGGGCCAATAGGCCTTCTGCAGTTTTCATTATTACTACTATCCCCTACACCTTACTTTCCTCCTCAGCTCTCTTGCCTATTTATTGCCTGTCCCTACCTGTCCTCATCACAATCGACTTGAGAATGGTCCAGGACGGACCGAAACGTCGTCGTCCCTTCAACTTCTAGTGTGTGGTTTGGTCAACACATAGTCTCCACCTTACCATAAAGGTGGAGCCTCGAAAACTCAACTGGGATTGGACACCAAACAAGCAGCACCTGAAAGGAACCGGGTCAGACTATTCACAAGAATGTTGAACACTCCCTGAAAATAAACAGTGCAGAGAACCAAACCCAGAGAAGCCAGCAGAAGAGCTACTTGCAGCATCCAACTCCAAAGAGCCGTGAAGTTGGTCAGTTTCTTCCTCTCGGAGGTTTGAGGCCTTTCCAGACAGGCTTTCACTCTTCACCTTCATCAGGTTCTTTTGGGATGGGTGACTTTGAGCGTGGTCTAGGTGACTTCATCCCTACTGAGGGTTCCCATGTCTTATCAGTCCTCAAACAGGATTCTCTGAACCTCTGGTTTATCCTCAACCCTTTATGGTTGAACAGGTTCATACCTTGCCCCTCTTTCTGGATGATTACCCTGTCTCTGAACCTCGTTCAGGGAGTGTGTGAGAAAGTTCATGTGAATGACAGCAAAAGATGAAACTATATATTGTGTTCCCTTGAGACATACTGTACTGTGAAATT